ATCCACTATTTCTAAAATACGTAAATGAAACAGGATGAAGGGATAGAGGGAGACGCCAGGGCCTACGGACGCCTGCAGGACTACCTTAGTCTCCGTATGGACTGAAGGTAGCCACCCAAGCTAAGGTCCAAAAGTTGTTGCTCCAGGATCTGCATACAGTGCAGCGTGTAGTATCAGCACAACCGACCCCATGTGCTGGTAAGTGCCTAGCCTAACCTCGGCGAAATAGTGACGAGGCTAGGTCCAGACTACCGAATAAACCTGTGCAGTTAAATCATATACAGCGGAAAAGAAGAACAGTAATGTACAGTTAAGTATGGGAGGGGGAAACATGATGCGGGGAAACATCAATTAAGAATAGAAATACATCGAGTAAATACAAGGAACATGATATCTCAATTATCATCAAGAACCAGGAATCAAACAAGTGCACGACATCACCCTTCATGCTTTTACTCTCGTCCTTACCAAAAGAATCAATATAAATTACACGGCATCACCCTTCGTGCTTTTGCTCTCGTACTCACCATATAATCAATATAATTGGCACGGAATTGTACATCCTGCGGCACGACATCACCCTTCGTGCTTTATACTCTTCCTCACAAAATCATACACGGCATCACCCTTCATGCTTTAATACTCTCTTACCAAAACAATACACGGCATCACCCTTCGTGCTTTAATACTCTTCCTCACCCAAACAACAATCACAAGAAATAAGGCAAAGAAATAAGTAATATTGAAATAAAATCCCGGTAAAGGAACAATAGTTCAACAATCAAATCCCGACAAGGGAAACAATATAATAATTCTCTTTTCTTTTTCACTTTTACTTCAGAACTCACTTCACAACTTGAGCCAATGCTCTATAAAGTTCAAATGCCAATTATACGTCCACAATTCATTATACAACTTAAGCCAACGCTCTTCGATACTCAAATACCACTATTTCCTCCACAAACTTTACTCAACAATAGAAATCATCACAAAAGGCATGAATAATACAAACAGAGTCATAATAATCATAATACAAGACTCACGGGCATGCTTGATACCAACGCATAGGTACTCGTCACCGTGCCTATACGTCGTACTCAACAAATATCACATAACAAATAGGACCTGACTCCTAATCCGTCAAGCTAAGGTTAGACCAAACACTTACCTTGATGCCACGAACACAATTCAAGTCTCAACTATCGCTTTACCCCTTGATTCCACCACCAATTCGCTCGTATCTAGCCATAAGTTACTTAATTACATGAACACATGCTAATTGAATCAATTCTAATGCATGAAAATAAGTTTTCTAAAGTTTTCCCCAAAAAGTCAAAAATTGCCCCGGGCCCACATGGTCAAAACCCGAGGTTCAAACCAAAACCCGATTACCCATTCCCCCACGAACCCAAATATATAATTTATTTTGAAATCGGATCTCAAATCGAGATACAAATCCCCAAAATTTGAAAAACCTAGGTTCTACCAAAAACACCCAATTTCCCCTATGAAAAAATTTGATTTTGAAGTGAAATCATGTGAAAAGATGTTAAAGATGGAAGAAAACGAGTTAAAAATGACTTACAATCGATTAAGAAGAGAAGCTGTCTATGAAAAATCGCCCAAGAGTGTTTTGATTTTGAGAGAGTGTGAAAAATGGTTGAAATGCGTCTAAGTTATGAATTTACAGGTTGCAGGTATCGCAATTGCGACCAGGGTTTGCAATTGTGAACCCAGAAGTCTGCTATTCTCACATTTGCGACAAAAGTTCTCATTTGTGAACTCGCTTTTACGACAAACTCGTCACATTTGCGATGACTGGGGAGTTCAGGGCATCTTCGCATTTGCGAAGGGACTTTCACATTTGCGGTAAAGTCGTCGCATTTGCGACCCAAGGCAGCACAGGTCGTCTTCGCATTTGCGGGCTCGCATTTGCGAAGTCTGCAGACCTGATCATACCAGCTAAATACCTCCAATTTCCTAAATTAAAATTTCACTCCGTGGCCTATCCAAAACTCACCCGAGCCCTCGGAGCTCCAAACCAAACATGCACACAACCTAGAAACATCATATGGACTTGCTCGTGTATTCAAATCACCAAAATAACATCAACAACTATGAATTTAGCATCAAAATCATGAAATTACTTAAGAACATCAAATTTTCTAATTTTCTCAAAATAAGGTCCGATTCACGTCATTTCAAGTTCGTTTCTTACAAATTTCACAGACTCAACTTAAATCACATATAAGACATGTACCGGGCTCCGATACCAGAATACGGGCCCAATAACATCAAATTTCAAACACTTTTCATTTCCAAAAACTCATAAATATTCCAGAAAATAATTTTCTTTAAAGATTCATTTCTCGGGCTTGGGACCTCGAAATTCGATTCCGGGCATACTCTCAAGTCCCATATTTTCCTACGGACCCTCCGGGACTGTCAAATCACGGGTCCGGGTTCATTTACCCATAATATTGACTGAAGTCAACTTAAATTTATTTTAAAGGCAAAATTCATCATTTTTCACAGATTTTCACATATTGGCTTTCCGGCTACGCGCCCGGACTATGCACGCAAATCGAGGTGAGACAGAAAGAGGGTTTTAAGGCCTTAGAATACGGAATTTATTTCTAAAACAAGTAAAGGTCATCACACTTTTACACATAGGAGAGCTAAAAATCATTTTCTTAATTTTAAAATTGTAAAGGAGTATGGTGTACAAATAGTACGTGTTTTCTTGTGGGATTAGAGAATCAAATCCTCTTCTTCCTACAAAACTACCAGGTCCAGTCTACATTACTGAATAATGGAAAGCTATTCAGAAGGGACCATGTGTTCACATTTCAATGCATAAATTATGACACAAAATCTTGGTAAAATGGGCTTTCTTTTTTTTGTGAGCTCTATATATGTAACACGAAATTATTTATTTTGTGTCTCATATAACTTACACTAGTTATATGAGGCATTTTTTTGTCTCACAATTTTGTTGACCCAGATTTTTATGGACCCAGAAGTGTAAAATTGGGGTCCATAAATTTGTGAGACAAAAAAAAGCCTCACACAGCTAATGTAAGTTGTATGAGGCACACAATAAAACTTCTTATGCAACACGATCGGAATCTCCGAAAATATCGTTGGATTCTTCAAAAATAATGCATTTTTGGAGGGTTCAATACGAGTACAATAAGACCATCTCCAACCCAACGCTATTTTTGACGCCAAACGCTATTTTGGTGCTCCAACCCAACACCATTTCTTACACTATTTTGGTGTGTGAATAGTGTTACACCAAATTTGGCGTAACAGTATTCATCAACACCATTATTATTCATCAATAGTTTATTATTATCTTTTATTATATAACACTTTTAATTTAACATATTATAAATTTTGTAATTACTTATACTTTTTATGTAATATCTTTATAATATTAATTTTATATTTTAATTTTGGTGTATAATTTTTATTAATTAATTTTTGTATATTTTATATAAAATTATAAGTTACTTTTATTAATAATTTTATAAAAATATATAACCATCAAAAAATAAAATGTATAAATCTGAAATATAATATGTTGTTAATAAATAACACAATATTTTGCAAATCTAAAAGGATTTATTTTATGAAATAAAAAAATAAATTCAAATAAAAGAAAATATTATAGTATAGAAGAGAGAGAAGAATATAAAAGGAATACTATTTTTTGGTGTAAAAAATAATATAATAGGTTGGAGTTAATTTGCACCATTTTGATGTTTATATTTTGGTGTAAAAAATGATGCATGGGTTGGAGACAGGGGCGGAGCTACGTACTAAATTTAGGTGCTTCAACACCCATTAAACTTTACACAATATAGGTATAGTTATATAAGAAATTTGAGGCATCTGATATAAAAGGAAAAGAAAGCACCTACCAACCAAAAAATTAAATAGTTACTACACATCAAGAAAAATTAAGCACCCACAAACTAGAGATGTCAATGAATATTCGAAAATCGACTAAACCGACCGAACTGTACCGCACCGAACCGACTTTTAGGCTTCTTTTTAAGAAACCGTAGGTTTTTATATAAATATATAACCACACCGATAATTAGGGTAGGTTTTTTATTTTATAAAAATAAACCGAAAAAATACCGAACCGTACCGAATAAATTTTACATGTAGAAATTATATTTATTTAGTAAGTTTAAAAATAATAATTCATTAAATTTTCTTTGAGCCTTGGAATTCTGAAAACTATTACAAGCCAACAAGTAATTAAACTCAAAATACTAATTCCTAAAACCTATTATGCTACTTCTACTTAAACTAAGCTATTTCAAGTATCTTTATTAGCAAGACACAAAGTATTCTAGCGATTATGAGTAGCAAACTACAATGTATTGAATATGTTTCCTTTCATATAATTTAGATTTATCTTTTTGAATATTTAATCTTCGATTGACTTTATTCTTGAGTCCCAGCTTGGTATATCTTTCAACTCGTGTGATTAATATTTTCTTTGCCTTTGTTTGATTTCTTTTACGCTGTTGTAGAATAGTTAATGGATCTATACTCTAGCCATTTTTTTTAATTCATCACCCTTTAAACAGTAAAAATGTCTAGAGAGTTTTGCTAAGTCCTATAAAAGAACGTATGTTATTGCAATTCTACTCTTACTGATGATTTTTATATGATATTAAAAAAATACTGAAAATTAACCGAACCGTACCGATGCCGAAGAGAAACCGACATGATTGGGACGGTTTCGAAAAGTCTAATTTTGGTTATACATAATAGAATAACCGAAAAATTGGTATGGTACAAATTTTATAAATAATCGGCCGAACCGAACCATTGACACCCCTACCACAAACATAAAATTCTGGATCCGTCACTGGTTGGAGTTGCCCTAACAATGTGAAGAGTCCACACAGCATATATGATATGCGAGTTTGAATTAGTTGGACAAGAGACTTTGAACATGAGTGGCCAAACACAAAATTTATTTACTTGATTACTTGAAAGGTGGAGCAAACTGCAATATGCAGTCTTAGCAAAAAAAAAATAAAATATCTTTTTGCTTTTGCCTAAATAAATGATCCACCCAATTAACCCCATATTACATTTACCCGTTTCCTTACCATTCTAATGGAATTCGGCTGCTACAGCGTACAGTGATAACGAACGATACAAAAAAATGAGCTTTGCAATTTCAAAGCGAAGACTCCGTTAGGGTTCTTCTATATTCCTAACCAGGTAAAGTTCATTACTTTAGAATTTAGTTCTGAAAGTGTATTGGAATATAATTTTTCTCGTATGTTTTGGAATTGCACTTTGAATTTTCTCCTTTTGCTGTATTAATTGGGATAATCTTGATTACATATCTATGCTGTAAACTACTTCTTTTATTGGTATAAAGATATATAATCTTTAGGCTTATACTAAACGAAATCTCATATGAGGTTTTTGGTATTTTGTCTAGCTCTACTTGAAATTATTGTAGGGTTTAGCTTTCTTTCTTGTATTAAACGGTCCAAATAGAGCGAGATGGATATAGATCATAGAGGATTCATAATTGGAAATTTTGTGAAATGTGGAGCGAGTTGAGTGTGACAAGATACGGCAATAATGGTACAAGTCAAATGACCATTTGTGTAGTTAACTCTTATACAGAATGTGAATTGAAGAAATAGAAATCAGCTGTAACAACAGAATGTGAACTGAAGAAACAGAAATACTAACTATTATTTGCCATAAAACTATAGAAACCAACTGTAACATATGCATTTGACAACCGTGGGCATAAACTGAAGAAACACAGATGCATCCATTGCTATATGCTAGAACATCAACACTAACTTGCTTTACTATTTGCTAGAACATCAACACTAATTTGCTACTAATGAATATAGTATGTACACTTGTCCAATACTCCAGCAACCTCTGCAGAGAAAAAATGAGAATGGAGAGGATATTAGTATTAAAATAGAGAAAGAGCAATGGAGGGCAACATTAAAAAGGAAGCCAAATACATGGGCAGTTCTTATAGTATTAGAAAGAAAAACCAGCTAACAGAAAGACTGTTGTTTGCGAGGTTCAACACAACAAGTTTTAATGCATACCTCGTAAATTGCTAATTCATTCTTAGACCATGTCTCAATGTCTTTGATGTCTCTTCTTTGGCCTTCTCCGTTTCTTGACAGCAATTTCTTGAGCAATTTTTAGAGCAGTATCTTCAGCAAAGTTGACAATCCATTTTGGTTTTTCCAGTAGGAATATTAGGCTTCCGACGAACAATCCAAAAATCACACCACAACCATACCCTATTATGACAGATTCCCATGTAAATCCGCCGGCAAAAATTGAATCATCATCATCATCATCTTGTTCAAATGGTGGCTCATCTGACGTGTTCTTGTATCCACATTCCTTTGATAGTGGAAATCCACATAAATCAGGATTTCCACCATACGAATCATTTGAAAATGTATCGAATTGTTTCCCATGAGGGATGCGCCCAACAAGATGATTGTATGACAGGTTTAAGACCTCAAGAAATGTCAAACTCGTCAATAGACCAGGAATTTCTCCAATGAGTCTGTTCCGTGAGAGGTCTAATGCTTCGAGCTCATTCAACTTTGCGATTTCTGCAGGAATACTACCATGGAAGTTGTTGTGAGATATGTTGAGTAACACAAGCGAACTAAGCCTTCCAATGGATTTTGGTATATCTCCTTCAAATCTGTTGCTTGATAAATCAATACTTGTCATAATGGACGTGATTCTCATATCAAACTCATTACCTTTTATCACCAAACTAACATGGTAACTGTAATCTATTTCATTGCTATTATTTTTTCCAGGGATTCCTGTTTTTTCTTCATCCACTTTCATCATCGCTGTAAAATTTTTGAAAAGATTAGATGGCAAAGTTCCAGTGAACCCATTGAAGGAAAGGTCAAAGATTCGTAACTCCGGAAATGGAAATTGGGACATCAATTCACCAATTGGACCATGAAAGAGATTTGATTTCAGTATCAGAACTTGCAGGTATGGAAGTTTCTCCAGCCATATCGGGAACGTGTCATTTATCTTGTTGTACCCCAAATCAAGAGCTGCCAAGCTTGTACAGTTAACCAAGGATCGTGGTATTAGTCCTCCAAATTGATTGTCGGTTAAACCAAGATATTTTAACCCTGTCGGTAAAAATCTCGGTATCTCTCCATAAAAATTGTTCATTCGCAAGTCTAAAACAGAAATGAAGCTGCTGGAGTTACCCAAACATCCTGGGATTGTGCCACTGAAGTTGTTATGGGCCAAAATGAGGGCTTGAAGGTTAATCATGTCACAAATGGACTGATGCAAAGAACCTTGAAGAAAATTGTTCTCCAGATTAAGGTAGAACAAATCCGTTGAGCGCCATACTTGCTTTTCAAAGCCCGTGAGGAAGTTATGAGAGAGATCCAGGACTACCACGTTCATGGATGTCATCCAATCAGGGATTTCACCATACAGCTTGTTGTTCGAAAGCTTCAGGAGTTTCAAGTTCATGCTTGAAAATGTTTCGAAATTATGGCTCTTCAACACATGTGGCAATTTCCCAGTTAATTGATTGTCTTGAACTTGTAAATCAGTCAAGGATGGAAGATAGAATAACCAAGGGGGTGGTGCGCCAGTGAAAGAATTGAAGGACAAATCAAGCGTTTCTAGCTCTTGAAGGCCGCTTATATTAGAGGGAAGTGGACCAGTTAGTGAATTGTTTTGCAAGTACAATTTTCTAAGGCGAGTCAAGGTTACAAATGAATAAGGGAATGAGCCAGTGAAATTGTTTGTTGAAAAAAATAAATAAGTTACCTCTGAAAGGTTGGCAAAGATGTCTGGAATCCGGCCTTCAAAGTTATTGAAAGAGAGATCTAAGTAGCTAAGTTTGTTCAGCTTTGAGGTAGTTGAGGGAACATTTCCAGAGAAATTGTTATTTGAAAGATCCAATTTGCTTATTCTAGTGAGGTTACCGATGGATTCTGGTATTGAGCCTTGAAAATGGTTGAAAGAGAGATCTAAATCGGTAAGTTTGTTCAATTTTGAGATAGTTGAGGGAACATTACCATTGAAGTTGTTAATGGGAAGATGCAAAGTTCTAAGTCTGGTGAGGTTGCCTATGGATTTTGGAATTGAACCGGAGAGATGGCAATGCGCGAGGCTCAAAAACATAAGAGAATGGAGGTTGCCAATTGAATCAGGTACATTTCCAAAAATACTAGTTCCAGAAAAGTCCAACTCTAAAATACTTGCACTGAAACTCCAGTTAAAATTTGGCAGAATGCCTGTAAGTTCAAGATTCTCTCCCAATCTTAGCACTTCTAAGTTTGGTAGATGAAACAGATTAGAATCGCTCAAGTCGCCGAACAAGTTTGTTTGTCTAAGATCTAAATACCTAAGAGACGAAGACATATTCTTGGGTAACTCAAATGGTGTTTCCATGAAGAGAAAAGACAATACCTCTAAATTGGTTAAGTTTTGAAGCAAACTTCTGAATGTGTTTGGGCCAATTTGGAGTTCGCAATAAGAGAGATCAAGTGAAACCAACTTTGACAAGTTGGATAATCCTGGTGGGATCATCTCTAATTCATAAGTTCCAGAAGCTGAAAGATTGAGATGCCTCAAACTGGTGAATTCACTAATACCATTTCCAAGTGGAAAATCATCCATGTCATTGAAGGCAAGGTTGAGACTTTGAAGATGAACAAGTTTCGCGAGGCTGCTGTTAGCATTGATGGTTCCTCTAAGAAAGTTGCAAGAAAGATCGAGGCCTATCACATGACGGGTAAATTCATCACAAGTAACACCATCCCATTCGCAACAATCTCTTGTTACGTTCCAGGATAAAGTCTTGGATGGAACCTTGATATCACACCAAGAAGCGTGCGCGGGATCAACTATGAGGCCTTGCTTAAATTGAAGCAAATAAAAAGCTTCATCGCGAGCACAGAGATGTTGCCTAGCGTATGAGAAGCCAGTAAGTTGAGATTGCAGTGTAAACATTATAGCAACTGAATAGAAGCAGAAAAGTAGCAATAATTGATACTCCATATCTTATCTCTTGCAGATATCTAACTAGGAACTCCTACTCCACCTATATAGTGATTAATTGATCGCTATTACTTCCTACTTTGAAATGTGAAAATGACTTCACCTTTTTTATCTTGTCGGAATATCATCAATAAAAGACATGTGTTATAAAATAAAAACAATGCAGTAAAATGTAAACAAGAAGAGATAGAGAGAATGAAGAAGTGTTTTCTTCTTTCACTTTGGTGTAATTTTTCATTGCAATTACATGGCCTTTTATAGGCATAAAAAGTAAAGATGATGGACATAAAATAGAAAATTTAATCTTTAAGTTATTGTCACACCTCCTTTTTCACCTACACCCCGGAAAATGGTATATGTAAAGGGAGTTTTTCCAATTAAAGGACAATCGAAACGAGATTTATTTATTTATTTCAGAGTCGCCACTTAGGAGATTTATGGTGTCCCAAGTTACCGGTTGAATCCCGAACCGAGGAAAAGATTGACTCTGTATTACAGTCCGCGAACCAGAAATTCGAGTAAGGAATTCTGTTAACCCGGGAGAAGGTGTTAGGCATTCCAGAGTTCCGTGGTTCTAGCACGGTCGCTCAACTGTCATATTCGGCTTATTTATCTGATTATAATACATGTTGAACCTACGTGCAAATTTTGACTGTTTACCGCTTTTGTTATTATTTATTCAAAGAATTGCAACGTCGTGAGAATGCATCTCGAATTGTGCCACATAACTGTACCCGCAATTTTCGATACGTTCCAACTTCGTTGAGATTTGGATTTGGGTCACATAAATGTGCACCCGAGTTTAGGAAGATAACATTATTAAATACGCGCCTAAAGATACTAACGCGTTGTTATTTTGAGAAAAGCCGTAAAGTTCGCTATGCGGCCTGTCTCGAAATCTAAGCATTTGAAATAACTGTCCGTTGAGGGCCCCGCAGTTTGTGTATTCTTATTTGTCGAGGCTCGTCTCATTCATTATTTTTTAAAGGAATTTGCAACGTCATGGA